CCTTCCGCGGAAACGACGAGGCCCCCGCGTTTCCGGATCCATGTTCCTCAGCAGCGCAGCCCGTTCTGCCGGAAGACGTGCGGGCTCCCAGCGGGGACTTCCAGGGCTGCAGGCCTGCTGGCCGCGGGGCGCACACAGGGTCAGCCAGCCCCGCGCTGGGTCCCCTCCCAGCCCGTGATGGCCTCTTGCCCCGTGACTTGTGGCAGGCAATGAACAAGTCCACATACTTAATTTGGAACATACAGGACAATTTATTGAAGTCAATCTCAAGCAAAATCTGAAATCAGTGGAATGTCATTAAAAATCTCTCCAAATTAATCCTCACGGAAGCAAAAAACACATCTGAATTCCAAAGTATTTGTGAAATAAAAAAAGGCAACATCTCAGTAGATACAATGTACAAAAATTATATGTTCCTACCAGCACACACAGCAGAAAGAAGCTTAAATATTACAAGCAGTCCTAAGTACGCTATAACTAGCCAACAATAAGCTATCTATGTACAGGTTAACCAAGCTTTATACGTGTCACACTGTGCAACAGAACATAGGCCAATCAACAAAATCCCCGAAATACCATATATCTTGAAGTCTATGTGGCAACATCAAGTCATAATACAGTAATGCCCTAGTGGAACACCCCCCAGGGAGAATTAACACTAATCCCTTAGTGTCAAGAGCTTCTAGCCAAGTCACAGAAACTCAAAAGAGATCGACTTTAGTGAATATTGATGCTTTGTTATTAAAGACTCAAGTCTCAAGTGATTTAGGCAAAATAACATTTCACAGGGTCTACAAAGTTTATTACAGATAAACAAAGTACAGAAATAACCAGTCTACAAAGGTCATTATCATAGATAAAGATCACGAGGAAATGAAAACAGAACCTGCAGGTATCTGTGTTCGTTGTGCAATAATATCACAAGCCGATACAGATGAATTTCTCCTAGCAATTCCAATTATGCACACACCCTTGTACCTAAAAAGAGCCTTACTGTTAGCCAGTTGTGAGCATCATTTAGCATCCGAGTTACCAGCGGCAATATGCTTTTCTTCTTTAGCACAGGGTATGTGGCAGCACAAATAAGATAAAGGACAATATTAGTGACAACAAGGTAAATTTTATCCAGTCCACTTCTAAACCAACAAGAACACCATATAAACACCTCAGCTAGGTGATCTGATGGCTACTGAGAGCCATTCGCACACATCGGGAGCCTGGTAGGTCGGGAAGGGAGTACTGGAACCCGAGGGTGCTTTCTTGCCAATGAGCCGACGCAGTCATGTCGTAGAAGAAAACTAAGGACTGAATAAATGACTTTGGCAACTACTCATCTTTTCCCTTTTGCTCACCTGTTAGCGACTTTTAGGGGTAATTGTCCTCCCCCTCCTCCTGCTCACACATGTGCCACAGCACCTGACCTTGTCACTTAAGCAATGGACTGACGAAAAAAGGACGAAAAAAGAACGGAAATGGGTTTGAAACACACAGGCCACACCAAGCATTTCGGGAGTGTAACATAAGTGCAAATTTTTGTTTTTTCCCTACACAGGCATATATTAAAAGGAAAGAAGAGGTGCTTAGGGGATGGGGTTGACAAAATAAAGAACATACGTGGGAAATACTCATATAAATGCTGCTGGTATCTCATGCAGGAGTCTCTCCCCCAGGTGTGTGCATGGATCTGAGTGATACTGGGACCCCCAGCTGCAGAACCCCGCCTTTCATCCAACTCAGAGAGGGTGAGAGACAGAACAGTATACAAAACAATGCTTTCTACTTCATAAATTCAAAAATTACTGTAAAATAAGGAGAATCTGAGGAGTTTCAAGTACTTAAAAAACCTGAATTCAATGAGGCAGAGGTCTCAATGTTAAAGTGACTACTTCGTACCTGTGGTAAACATCATCATCCCTCCCTGACTCTATTAAACCCCCTTTTCTCCCTGTACCCCACCCCAGATAGACATTGATAGATTTTAGTATATACAAATGTCCAACTCTTAACTATTAACACACGGCAAAGCTGTCTACCTGTGTCTATTCCCGAGCCTGTCTGAAAATGGAAGCCACTTCCACTCTTTGTTTACAAACAACCAGAGACCAATTCTACGTGGCCCTGGGCCAGAGGAAGTTGTTCCAAATGATCACTTCACGTCTGCAGCATCTTGGACAACCAGATGGCTGGACACATTGGCCTTGTAAGAGCAAGTCAAGTCTAATCTGCACTGGCCAGCAACAAGGCCACCTCCTGGTATTGCTGTACCTCGGGCGGAAGGACATCCAGGGAAGCTTCCCGGGCTGTGGGGACTCCACGCTAACTTGTTTTCTTTTCCTGGTGGGACGTGGCACCTTGGCTGGAAGGTGACTGCTGACGAAGAGCTTTATGTTTTAAAGTGAAACGAAAAACAAGCAACACTCCTCGGCAGTCCAGAGCCCGAGTCTGTCGAGCTGGCCTGATTCCAAACTGCAGACCCGGGTCTTCCCGATTAGAACACAGACCATGCAACGAGCTACTCAGCTTTACGCGATCACCTCAGGGTTTCACGACATGATACACAGGCGTGTTTCCAAAGCTATGTGGAAACGGCGGCAGGGAGCTGGCAGCAGCCCTCCCCTCCCCCACCCCACTTTTTTTTTTTTTTCAGTTTTTAGATGTGTTCCTGACTTGAACACACAGAAATCTCCAAGTTTCAGTGATTCTAAAAGCCTATTTTATAGCTTAGGCCAGAGCATTTTTGAGAATTAAGATAGGGTGGGACCTTGTTAAAAGGAAAATGAAAGCAAAGCCCACCTCACTCCTAACTTGAGCCCTGATTAGGTATTTAGGCAGTGACTCACTTCCTCCCGCTGCTCAGCCTTCCAGGAAAGGGGCCATCCACCCTCCCTTCTCAGGCCCCCAGGTCCGGCCCCTCCTCCTGCTCAGGGCCGGGGAGGTCCCCCTGGATTGCATCTTCACTTGTTGCCGATCCAACTTCTGAGGCTGTATGCTGATTATCAAAAATCTAACATTCACTTCTTCCTCCAGAGAATCAACACGAGGTTAAAAAAATACTACCATCCTCCCAGGCTACTTTAAGTTATTTCATTTTCAGACAAGAATAAAAACCAACCATTTGTGCTCTGACCACATACAGATTTAAAAGCAGACAAAGGACAAGTTCAGACGACGCATGAGTGACATTTCATCCAGGGCGGCACCAGCAGGCACCCTGCCAGCCGGGCTCACCCTTTCTGCCTCCATAACCTGCGACTTTAGAATCTATAAAACAGGTCAGCAGTGACACTGGAGGTGTGAGGACAGCTCCGCGGCATCGGCAGGACTAAAGCCACTTTCAGATGTCACACAACGTTCGTGGACAAAGACTCCAGAGCTCGGTCAGCTAATCTGTGTTCTACCCTGATTTCTTAAATGGCAGAGTAATCCTATCAGTACCCCCCACCGCCCCCCCCAAAAAATCTCAGCAGAGCTCTGTTTAAGACATACAAACAAAACGCGACACAGTGAAGAAGCTGCATAAAAAGACTTAAACTGCAGGTGTTCGTCGCACACGGGATATACCCTGGCTTCCCGTATAAAAGTCGTCAGGTATTAAATAGCACTGAGTCCAGAACAAAGCAAGGAGACACGATTTCAGGGCAGAGACCATTTCAGCAAGAGTTGCAGTTTGAATATTAAAGGAAACCCTTCATGTTAGTAAGTTTAAAAAAGCAAACATTTATCATATACATATATAAAATAAAGTTTCAGTATGATAAAACCTAGATTTTCTTAAATTATTCTGTAAAAGGACATCAAACTATATAATTCCTCAAGAGATTCTTCAAGAGCACAGTTTAGTGTTTGGTGCGCCGTGTCTCACGTGACTGGGAGCAATCACATTTGGTGACATGTGTAGCATTTTCTATTCTGCTCTTTCTTTTGAGACTATGTCTACTCAAGAGAATTACTGGAGGTCCGATAAGCTACCTCAGAATTATTTGCTGGAATCAGGCAAATGGCAGTTTAGGAGCTTAAGTAAAGGAACTGTAGTGTTTTTTTTTTTGTTTTGTTTTGTTGTTGTTTTTTAACAAGAAACAATCCAGTATAATTGCACATTTACATACAAAGAAAAAAAAAAGAGAGAGGCACAAAACATGTTTTTCCTTCTTTTTTCCAAAGAAGAGCTCTAAATTGATAGGAAAAAGGAACACACGAACACAACGGAAGGTTTGCGGTAGAGCATCTATCTCCCCACCTTTGTAAGGTTACTAGGTACTACTTGAGGGAAGATAAATGCTACCAGGTACCAGCAACTGTAAGCAGTCAAATTTCACAGAGAAAGTTAATGTTCATTGGAGCTAGCCCTAGGCTTCTGAGAACGTGTTACAATAGTTCAGACATTACTGGTGAGTTCACACAGGGGATACTGGATACAGAAGTTCCTTAGCAGTAGAAGCAAGGGAACTCGGTGGGCAGACATCCTGGCTCACGTGCATCTGTGAGACCCAACCCCTTGCGCTAACACTGCTTCCTTGGGCGCCCTCTCTCAGTGCTTCCTGCGACGAAGTGTGTTTGCGCAGCCCTTACATACCCTGTACAAGTGTTTTCCCTTCCTCGGGGGGTGATTTTAGGGACTGGACAACACTAAGCAGAAGTTGTTTACATATAATTTGGGGACCCCCCCAAAATTAGGAACTAAACCAAAAAGATATATTCAAACACAGTTCAAATTCATCGGGGTGGTTTCACCAGGAAACACGACTGAGGGGTCAGTGGACAAAGGGGATGCTCGACTGGGAGAGGAAAGTGGAGACAGAAAATAAAACGCCCATAATTCTCTCCAAGTCAGACCAGAGTCTACATTAAATCGGACAGAAAATGGTGCTTATTTGATCCAACTTTCGGTCTATGCCTTTCGTCTCCCTTTAGCTGCCTTTATCAGTGGGTCAGGGGAGCGGGAATGACCATTCTAACTACGCATTCACATCCACATAAATGCACTTCATCAAAAATACCCATTGTCAATGGAAAACATTCCAAACTCAGTGAGTGCATCAATTTCTTTTTTTTTTCCCCTAGAACAAAACCAGCAACCACCTTACATACCTTTCTAGGTACAGCTGTCTGTCACAAAGCCCACCCAGTTTAAGACCACAGAGGTAATCCACTGAGGCCTTCTGTTTTCAAGAGGCCGGATTCGGTACTCCCACAGAGCCCTTCCCTAAGACTATGAAAGACACCTGGAAGGGAAAGAGAAGTCAGCCTACCTACTGCCCAGGACAGAGGTGTATGAGACCATCACACCCTTTTCTAGAGGGCTTTCTCCAATTCCTACTTAAAACACACACACACACACACATGTACACTGATTAGACTATCTGAACTACACTTCTTAAAATTTTAAAACATGAAAATAAATAAAGGAATGATGGCTACTTTTGCTTTTTACACCCAAGGAACACATTCTAGACTTTAAATTTATCTCATTTATCTCATTCTTTTCTCGTTCTTATTTTAAAAGTGAAGACATCGTTTTCCAGCTGCAGAGGCATTGAAGCACAATAAAAAGCAAGAAAAGACCAAGGGAATCTAACCCTCCACAAGAGTCCCCAAACCAAAAGAACAAAACCGAGAAACCAGCTACCACCAACTGCTCCGGCCTGCACCACCTGCGTCCCCGTCTCCGCTCGAACAGGGCGGCGCTGATGTCCGCGCTGCAGCGGCCTCTCCTGGCCATCATGCAGCACCTACTGACTTTTTTCTTTTCCTTTTTTCATTTAAATAAAAAGAAAAAACAAAGAAAAAGGAAATCACCACCCAGTTATTCTTTGCCTTCTTCTGCGTGATCCTGTGATTCCAATTTACATTTCATCTTGCTCCAGTATTCGGACGACACGGGAGCTCCGGGGTCGTGTTCAGAGCAGCAGAGACGGCCTTCCAGCGCGGAGGGAACCAGCGCCCCCTCCTGGTGCTCTTTACAGAACGAGCGGGGACAGAACTCACAGAAGGAAGCGGCTGCACCGCCGCACTGGTCGCACCGATGCCACGGGCACTCCCACTTTCCTGGTGAGGGCGGGAGGGCGAGCCCGGTGAGTGCCTGCGCCCACGGCCCGCGGACACCCCCTCCCCGCCTCCTCCAGTCCAATCAGCGCACTAGGCCCGGCGGCCCAGCCGGCACAGGTCTGGGGGCCTCCAGCGCGGCTGGGAGCTACCGCCCAGCACGCAGCGCCCCCCGGCCAGCTCCTCCCCTACGTGATAAAATACAAGGAACGAATCCTTGCTGGCCCGCAGGCACCCCCCCACTTGCAGAGAGACCGATTTCTCACTAGCAACATTTTTGTTGGCTCTTGGGGCCTGTTCCTTCCACGTTTCCGGGTCCACGGCTCCACCAGGGAGCCCAGGACAAACTCCCAGCTGCACATCACCGGCAAAGACTAGAGTCAGGGGAGGGTCCCGGGGCCGGGCTTACCGTACGGCGGCTGGGTCAGGTTAAGGCATAGGAGGTGGTAGGCTTTGGGACAGTCCTTTTTGTCGCACATGACCAGCTCTCCCCCGTCTCCACACTGGAAACAGTAATCTTCATGCATCTGCTTTGGTTCTGTTTTGATTTTTCGTCTCTTCTGCTTTAACTTAGCATTTTTTGCCTTTTCTTCGGTTGTGGACGCACACGCCGCCTGGTAGGAAGGAAGGACCGCAGTTTTAATGATCACAGTGCATGAAGCTGCACACAAAAGGAAAATCCCACAACCTCACGTTCACTGAACTTTGTCTGTTGTTCAGTGACTAAAACGCCGGAAGGACTCATCTCGTGACAGAACTATACTAAACATAAGGCTTCGTTTCCACTGACTTTTGAAAAAGTGCTTTTTTAAAAACTTCAAAGACACTGAGATGTAATTCACAAACTATAAAATTCACCAGTTTGATGGTTTTTAGTACACTGATTTTTTTAAAAAGTGTTTGAAAAAGATTTTGCTAACTTCAAACTCAATCAGAAATAGACATCCCTTTCCAGAACTACCAGTTTTTACTGAGATTGTACTCCCTGTGCAAGCTGGAGTCCAAACTTTGGGTAAACATAACTGACGGCCTGCACACCAAACCAGGTCCCACTGGCCTGCACGTCCCCAACTGGCCCCAGACAACCTTCATCAGCAGCTCGCCCCCCACCCCGACCTTCGGCCGCACTCCGAGAAAACCACTGCAGTTGTCCGCCCCGCAGTGGCACTCCGTCCTGCCGTTGCCCAGACAGTCCAGGTTATAGTTAAATGTTAACTCCATCCCTAGAACAAGAGAGAGAGAAAATTCATCCTCAGGGCATGGGGAGGAGAGATGCTGTCAAAGACGCACCTTCATAAAGAAAAAAGAGATATAATTCTGACATGAAGATTTTTCCCTCTGAAGACGGTGATGAAAACAAGAAAAAAGGAAAAAACTACAAAACTGGAGGAAAATGTCCCCATCCACCAATGACTAAAGCAAAACTAAATATTCTACAAAAGTCATGTCCTTTTCAGTGAAGTGGTCAAAGACTATGTAATAGGGACTAAGAATCTGAAATCTGTGCTCAAGAAAAATGGGTTCTAGTTTAGCTCTCTTTTCTAAAGCTAATTTACACTAGTTTGTAAATGAACACCACAACCATGGAATTGTGACAATTCATTCCAGGACTAAATGCCTTCTATTACGCTCAGAAGAGAGTTCATGATGCACCATATACACTAAAATCCAGGGATTCAAACTAGGAGGTCCAAGCTTGCTTTTAGCTGGGCCTGGACAACACCCAGTGAGTGCTAGAAACACAGTTCACATCCCTTTTAGCTACAGCATTTCTCCTCTCACCCATTTTCCTACAAACTTAACAAATGAGAAATTAAGTCATGCTGTTAAGATGCTGGATGGCTAAGGAGAAACGAAAGCAGTAACTCTGCTTCAAGAAACTTTTATGTCTAATTTGAAACAGACTGATCTTTCAAAATAAAAAATAAAAAACAAAGCCAACCCCCCCCACAAACAAAGAAACCAGCTGATGTTAACACAGGCTAATTACTTTTAATATTAAAAAAAACAAACCCAAAGCTGAAACACCTGCTTGCATTATGCAGCCAGCAGTAATCTGGAGAACAAATTCAGCAGGATCATGGACACACAGAATTCTGTATTAACCTCCCTTACTCAGCTCCCTTTTGCAGGACATAGAGGTTAACTTCTTACTGGCAGATAGCAGTTCTAAATATAGCTCTTTATCTTATTTGAATAAATACTTGAACATCAAAACTTGAAGAATGTCCTGCCTTCTAAGATAAACTTACTTCCCAGAGAGGGAGCAAGTTGCTTTTACCTGCAGGAATGTCACAAAGAGCAAAGAGTCCCACTCGAACATCACCATTCACCGTCCACTTCTGTGTTTCACAGTTGGGATTACAACTGTGGTTCATAAAGCGAGAATAATTTCCTTTTGGGCCAGCATCAATGATTCGGTCCTTCAGGAAGAAAAGAAAGGAAAGGTCCCTTTGACATAAACCTGAGCATAAGCCTGTCTTAGAAACATCCAACGTTGGCAAGAGCTGCGAGACAGCAGCAGATGGCCGACACCTGACAGCTCCAAAAACGGGCTGCTCTCTGCACAACTAAGTTCTCTACTTGATCTGATGAACTTCAAGTCAAAGCTACTAAGATGAAGTGGAGTTTAGTTTCTTTTAAGGTTTGTTTCTGGCAACAGACAGATCACAGAATAATGCTCCTTAGAAGATTAGCTGGCAGTAGGCTTAAGGAAAGGTATTTTCCAAGCAGAGCGCTCTCCTGTGCTGCCAGCCCTCCTTTCCGGCCCCGAGCAAGAGACAAAACTGGGGGTGTGTGTAGTGGGGTGGACAGGAGCTTAGACCATAAAGAGGGGAGGAGGAAAAGTGAGAAACTTCTCTGAGTGAAGACGTGGAGATCTGACTGATGGCGGGGCTAGAGCTTGGGACATAATCTTTGTAATCTTATTTAATTTACACTAAAGTTCAAAATACTGTTAAAAGGTCAACATGTTGAGTTTAAACTCTGATAATCTGGAAAAGCTCTAGAGGATGAAGCCTCCTGAGTGCTGTCAAGCTGGCTGGTGGGGTCACTGGCAGTGAGGAGAGGATTTAAGGGGCCAATTAGCAGTCATAAATAAATGGCATTTAATGTTTATGAGTACATGTTCATGAAAATTGTAAAATGTTTAAACAATGACGTATCAGTTAATACTTTTTAAATGATCTCTAGTTCTTACTTTTAATAATACTTTGACTGTCAGTTTTAGAGACAGCCTGGAACTCAGGAAACACGGGTACTAGGCTTCATTAAACTAATGGCTTTTCATTAAACTATAACGAGATAGCCAACAAATCTTTTTATCATGGCTGGACCTCAGTTTCTCGTCCTCTGTAAATCAGAGGACTGCTGAATAAATTAAATGAAATAGTTTTGTTCTAAGGTGCATCAAACAGCAATTAGTTACACGTGTTAAACCAGAAGTTTTACTGTCATTTTTCTTATGACAGCATCCATTTTTCCTAACTCATAAAAAAGTCAAAATACACAGAACAATTTAGGGTTACAATTTTTGCTAAAGCAGAATTTTAATGGTGGTTTATAACTTAGAATTACAGAGCTGATTCTCTCCTTCGGTGGTAAAGAAACTGAGGGCCAGGTCTTTGGGTGACTAAGACGAGCTGGGATTCTGATCCAGGTGCGTTACCCCTACTCCTGGTCATCTTCCACTCACAGCGCTGTCTCACGTGACCTGTGCAAGGCTCCAAGAACCATTTGCTTTTGTACTCTGGTATATTGAGCACATTATAGTGGGTAGCATACTGGCTACTGCAAATCATTATAAAATTTGCCTGAAAAAATCAAATTAGAGGAAGGAAACTGAGTTCAACCTAAGAGCATGAAACTAAACCAAGAAATCCTTTTTTTCTTACCAAAAAAAAAGCAATTTTACCTTGGTAACAGTTAACATATAAAAATTAGTTACACTGTTCTCGTGGGCTCGCTTGATTCGCAATCTGCATTCTTCTTCGTCAATTAATTCGCCAACATATTCATTTACAAATTCACCCTGCAGAGAAGCATGCAATAGAGAATGTAAAATTAGACTACTACATTAGCAAGTATTCCTTACCACCACATGCACAATCCAAGAGAATCAGCCAAAGAGAACCCTGCAAGCATAACTACAGCACAAAGTTAGAACCAGAAATGGACACTGGTACAAATCTACAAGCCTTACTCAGATTTCACCAATTTTACGTGCCCTCATTTGTGTGCATGTGTGTAGCTGTATGGAATCCTATCTGGTGTAGAGTCAGGTAACCACCGCAGTCCAGGTACAGGGCTGTTCCATCAGCACAGAGAGCCCCTGTGTGGCTCCATCCCTCCTCCACCCCATCCCGTTCCTAATTTGTCCTCCAACACTACAGTTTTGTCATTTTGAGTGTGTTCTAGAAACAGAATCACAGTATGTAACCATTAGAGACTGACTCCTTAAAGAGAAACTCAGCCTCATTCTCTTGAGATCCATCCAGACTGTTGTGTGTATCAATAGTTGATTTTTTTTTTTTTTAACTGCTGAGTGATGGTCCACACTGCAGATGCACCACAGTTTAACCAGTCACCTGTTGAATGGTTTCCATGTTTGGGCTATTACAACATTCTGATACAAGTTGTTGTGCACACAGAGGTTTTCATTTCTCTGGGATAAATGCTGGATCATATGAGGAGCGTATGTTTAATGTTTTAAGAAACTGTTGAACGACTCTCCAGAGTGGCTGCACTCTCACCACATGTTCCCCGTGTCTGAGAGAGCCAGTTTCTCCACATCCTCGCCAGCACTTGGCATAGTCCCTCTTTTTCATTTTGCTGTTCTGACAGGTGTGTAGTGGTAAGCTCCTTTTGAAATAAGGGTAAACACTGTACATTCAATCTTTCATGCTTAAAAATGCATAATCATTAAAAGCATGTTTGATTCAGTCTAGGACAACAGCATTATCTACAGGATTTATCAGTTACTAATACATTTCTGAGGCAAAGAAATGCCTTAGGGAATAAGTTAAGATGTATTTGCTTATTGTTTTACTAGACTTGTGTTACTCCACCCGCCCCCAAAACAGATTCTCATCAGCCCTTCTGATAGCTCTTACATCACACAACTGACAGCAAATATCAGTCATCTAAAGAGAAGTACTGTATTATATTTTCTGATTTTGGTACATCACTAAGAACATAAGCTGATGTCCTTAATATTTTAATATAAAAGATTTAACTTGCTCTACTGAACAAAGAAAAGATGGTCACTTTTGTATATGACAAAAGAAGTGAATGGGTCAAATTGGGACGAGCCAACCCAGCCAACCACGAGTCAGCCTTTCTGGGCAGCAGGGTGGGGGCACCGTCTACTTCAAGCAGCCACATGCTTGGATCATCTGGGGCGTGGTCACACAGAAGTCCACATTTTTCTTGACTTACAAGCTATGACAAAGGGTTAGGTTAGAAAGAGACACAATTTATCTGTAACTGCAATACTGTAACAGAACAGTTCTGCACATCTGTGGACCAGGCACTGGCAGCCTTCAATGGCTTTTTCTCCATCCAGTCTGGACTTGGACCTCAGCAAATGAACAGCATTTTGCACTGTTATACAGTATCGCCACCCTCAGGGGCGTTCCATTTCAGCGCCATCTTGGCTGCATGGCAACCTAGTGTTACTGTACTTAACTATTTTGTGCCAAGTTTTCTTTAATGGAAACCCACAGAGCAGAACTCAAACCTAATCAGCTCCACTTCACTTTTTTTTTTTTTTATATAATGGAATTCAAGTTAAGGCTTCATTTGAAGACAGGGTTCTGTGGCTTTAAAAGCCTGAATACCATTTATTATGGCTTATATTTACTATTGTATGAAAAAGAGTGAGTGTAGAAAACTGAAGTGCTGATAGCAAATGTGAGGAGTGCAAGTCTCACAAACCTGACGTGGCTGTGAACAAATGTCTCAGCTATTCTGTCACAGAAACATTTTAGGCGTCCAAAAAGTGACAAATCTTTAGCCTCAAAGAGTTACTTGCTGGAATTAAAACCATTAACTGTGAATAAAAACATCACAGTAAAGACCTTTTAAGATGCTAGAAATCTATACATAAAGGCAATGGCGAAAAGAGTGTTTGATTCAGTACTTTATATAATTTCTTCAATTTCTAAGAAAGAAAACACTTCCTAACAGGAAGTCCCCTGTTTAGCTCTGGTACACAGTCAGAAATTTGTTATGTGTGAAAAGGAGACTGACTGTGTACATTCAATTTCATATTGGCTTCTGTCCCCTAAATGTGCCAAAAATCTTTTCCATGTTGCCACAAAGACTTTATGATTATGCTGTACAGTGACTATATTTCTGGCTATTTTGTAAGAGACTGACTGTTTTACATTAGCAATTCCCTGAGTGCTAAGGGCAATCCTACCCTTTAATCCTGATTGTGTTTTCTTTTCTCTTTATTATATCATTAATTTAGTAAATAAGAGTAAATTTTAGAATAAAAGGTGTTAGCACGACATTAACCTGGATAGATGTCAGGGCGGTCCCCAAAACTCCCCTGAATTCATAGGCAAAAATTTGAACACGTGGTACACGAGGCATTAAAGTAATATCAAAACCTGTGCATTATATAATGACATGTTAAATGCAGGTGGCCTTTGTCCAAGCAATGCAATCCGCATGTCCAAGGTGGATATGATTTTTAAAAAGGTGATTTTTTAAAAACAGTAGAAAGGTGCCAAGAATAATTTTCAATTCCCACCAATCCATCTTCTCTCAGTGAATACGCCTTCCCGTTCTCTGTATAGGCACTAGGCAGGCGGGGACTTGTTTAAAGATGCAGATTATGCAGGCCTGTCCCCAATATTTCAGTAAGACTGTTTTAACAAGGACTCTGGGAGATTCTCAGGATCTCTAAAGTTTGAGAGCCACTGTTTGAGTAGCAGGATGTACTGGTGATTTTCAATTTTCTTTGAGTCATTTGCATTAAAATTTTTTTCTACAGTGGGCATGCATTTCTTGTGCGAGACAAAAAGACTGCTTTGAAAAAATCACTTCAAACTATAAGAATGAAGGTAATTCATAAGTTCTAAAGATCTCATCTTTTTCTAGTTGCTTTTGTATATATGAGCTACTTTGAGACTAGCAACAACCCTTAAATACATAGGGGATAATTATGTCCATTTTAGAGATGAGAAAACTGAGGCTCAGGGAAGCTGAATGACTTGGCCAGGGTTTCATGGCTAATGAATTATGATCTCGGTGCAAAGTCCTAGTGTTGCTAGTTTCTGTCCCAGTACCTTATTTTACTCTTTTGCACTTTTGCTTAACAAGTAAAAAGTATTTCAAGTAGAATGACCAGTGTCCCTTTTCTTTTTTATGACTGATTATAGGAAAGCCAAAGTTGATGTGCATTTTATTGCTACATCTTCCTACCGTCTCTTCTTTGCTGAAGAACTGCCAAACTCTCAAGAGGGGAAGCTTCAAAATTTTGGACTAAATCTCCATCTACTTTGTCCTTAATGAAGCATCTCTAAGAGGCACAGGTCCTGGCTGTTCCTCTCCCACCACTGCCCTGTCCCATGCTACCTTCTTAATGCTCCTCTTGGTCCTGAGGCCCCAGCCTCTCCGCTCCGTCTTGATGATTTCCGCGTCGGGGTAGAGCCTCTTTGTAAAGCACTGGTTCTGGCAGCGCTCCCCCGCCGGGCACACCTGCGGGTGGCACTCGTACTGCAGCATCCTGTTCAGGCACTCGGACTCCAGGCCGCACGGGTTCTCGTCGGCCGGCTTGCAGTTACAGCGGGGAATCTCTGACAGGTCTGCAACCTGGATCTGCACCTTTCCTATGACTTTGTTAGCCTGGAAAACAGAATCACAGATGAGAGGGAGGAACTCGACAAGGCAGGCAGAAACATCCAGGCCCTGGTGGCTCTGCTGCTGCCTTGTGGTGAGACCCTGAGAAAGGCTCTTTCTCTTAATCGTACTTTCCCCCACGGACGAGCTAGGAATACTACCTGCTGCTCCTTAGCTGACAAAAATATCACAACTTGATGTGAATTCTCACTTACTTATCCTGAGTATTTCTCCTTCCATCAGTTGATGGAAATTTCATAACTGAAAACAATCGTGGGCTCTCTGGAAGGAAGGGGCCACACACCCATATTCTCATTTGGTTACAGGATAAGCTGACGGAGCAAGAATAGGATTTCACATCAAACACAATGCTCCCCAGTATGAGGGGCTCATCGAAGACCAAGTCCTCAGGGGGCAGCAGCCACGGCTCCCAGATGACTCTCCAACAGCAGCTCTCAGCTGGTTTTTCGGAAGACTGGATGGGAATCGGCCAAAGTTCTGCCAAGTCAACAAGGGCCTCCTAACTACTAATCATCTTGTCGTCAAACACCAGCGTTCTCACGGGCAAAGACTCACTTTTATGTGTTTGTAAGGAGGGGGCTTTCTCGAGTTTTTTTCAATCTCCAGGGCTTCTTTACTTTCTCTCTGTGCTTTCAATTCCTGGAAGCGTTTGGCAGCTTCTTCCAGTGCTGCAATGAGACCAAACAAAAAATATATAAATACCAAAAATAGACAAAGCCCGCTGGGAGAGTACTTTTAGTACTTTTACACCGCCTTCCCAATGCACTGCATCTGGTCTGAGGTTTTTTTAAAATGATACTCTGGAAACAACCATTCACCTACCACTAGGATAGGGTAACACTGAGATAGGATGTAAGTCATTTATGGCTGGATGCTGTGCTCTGGGCCAGTGTCCTCAGAGAAGAGGTCCCCCTTCGACGATCAGCGACTTCCACGTGAACCAGAGAGCAGTGGTTACCTTGTACCAGATTCTCATGCATTTCACTCTTACCCAGAGAGCTAAACTTCCCAGCAACTGGTTACTCTTTTGTGGCAAAGGAGCTTCTCCTGATTCAGTAGACTGCATGTTTCCAGAACAACCTCTATGTCTGTAGAAACATCACTGAAGACACTATTTTCATCCCCATGGCACAGTCTACTCTACTGAATCTTTCTAATTGGTTGGATTGTGATGTGGTTCTAATGTGACTGGAAACTTAGGGACACCACCAGGTGAAACTCCTCATCTGATTAACATCATGTGCAAGTTAGGAGGTGCTGAGAGCCAACCTGGAGCCTGAGTTCTAAGCCACTATAAACATTATACAATGTACCTTTTTTGAAGGTCTTGTTAATACTAGTTTGTCCCTCAGCAAAGCTTTTGTCTCCTTCGACGTAAGGGAACACTCTGCCCTGGTGGACCCAGTAGTAGTCGTGGGAGCCGAAGAAGAACACAGGGAAGTCCCCCAGGTCGTGCTTGAGGCCCTGGATGTTCAGCGGCACGGACCTGGGGTTGCAGATCTCCGCTGGCCACCATCTGAAAGCAAGAGGACCGCAAATTGCACTACGCTTTACGTGGCTGGCAGGAGCGGGGAAAGAGGTTTTGTACTTTGCAATTTTCATTCAGCATCTAAGGACACAAAGTACCAGGTTTATCTTTAATCTTGCCTAAACTACACATCATTTGGAAACACACTGATTAACGAGTTAATGAATGAAAATAATGAACACAGACTGAACTAGGCACTAAACACCCAGTTTAGGTTCTTTCTTCAAAAATTAGTATTTGAAATTTATAAAAGAATATATCATGAAAATGTTATAAAGCATTATAATAAAGTAAAAATGAACCCACTACACAAGAATTAGAATTTACCAGTAATATTCCAAATCCAATTTCAGTCCTGGAAAAGTCATGTTTTTCTCCAAACGTGACATCCTTAACACCAAGATTGTCTTTCAAGGTGTAAACATTTATTTCTAGTGGTCAAGGGAATCATCTGAAAATAAACTGCTGCTCCAGTCAAGAGTGCCTGCTCCCACTCAAATTAGCATTTTCTGACTCACTATTCACCCATGGTAAATAAATACTTCTTGGGCAGATGTACTAGATTTGTATCAGTGTGTATTTCAGAATCTAATTCATCTTAGATCATTATAACCGTGGGATTTGGGACAGGACTGAACACGCAACCGCTTCATGCAGTGATGACCAAATCCACACTGTCACTAAGTGAATCACCTGTGAGGCACGCTGGACGGCTTCCAGCAATCGGGCAAGCGAGGGATGACGCGTGAGGCTTCTGTGGTATATGAAACCATCAACACCAACAGTAAGTACGCAGACACTTAAATTTTTTCAGTCTCTTATTTTACAGATGCCTCAGAAAGCCATTTATTTAATGAATAATTTAATTACTGGGATGATAAATGATGGCACTGTCACACTCCCAGATTTCTAGTGCAGAAATGGAACACGCTTCCTCTAAAAGGTACCCAGCTATCCATCTAGGTGTTAATTAAAAATCTGAGGTATTAAAAACACATTATATCTAAATCTGTAATTTTAAAAAATTATATGAACACATGTAGAAATAATGTACATACTGTTTAACATGCTTCCTAAACCAACTATATATCGTGGATATCTTCCCATGTTCCTACAATGACCTGCATTTCCTTTTCTTGGCTTCAAGGTGCTCAACAATAGATACACCATAATTTATCTGACAAACCCCCTACTGACTAAGCATGTGGATTGTTCAAATTTTTGCAATTAGAAATAACACTGCAATGAACACCCCTAAAAATACATTTTTGCCTGCTTGTCTTCCCATGCCTTCCCAACCCCCAAACTGTTACTCTTTTAAATCTTTGCCAATCTGTTAATTGGGAAAAAAAAAAACCCTCTTTGTTTCTAATGCACATTTATTTTTAGTGAGGCTGAGCATTCTTACCTGTTTCTTTTTTGTTTGTTATTCTTGTGCAGACTGGCTTTTTCTCATCATTGCTTTTTCAGGTAAGGTATTTGTCTTTTCTTATTGAGCAAATACTTTCCCTAGTTTGATACTTGTCTTTAAAAACTTTGTATTTTTTGCCATAAAGTATATAATTATTTGTGTATTCAAACTGTCAATTTTTTTTTAAGAACTGGGAGGTTTCTTGTCATGTTAAAAAAAAAAAGGTAGTTTGGGTGGAGTAGGTAGAATGCCCCTCATCATAGCTAAAAATGAAGTTTTTAAGGTTATACAAGTAAGCAAAGCGGTGTATTTAAAACAGAAAACAACATAGCCTTTGTTAAAAAAATTACAGTATATTTGAAATCCTATAGAAACATACTTAGGATTCTAACTGAAAAGCAGAACTCTATGTTCTCCTGAACAGTATCTCTTTTCTTAGCAAAATGATAAACATATGCCTCAAAATGTAGAATGTAGAGTTTTAAAAATATATCGCTATTTTTAGATAGACTGGGATTTCAAAATTGTAGAATAGATAAACAAGATTATACTGTATAGCACAGGGGAAATATATACAAGATCTTATGGTAGCTCACAGA